GTGAATTTATTCCTAACTGGTTTCTAATAGAAGGATCGGCTCCATTGTCTAAAAGATAATTCACAGCTTCAATCTTGCCAAAAGCTGCAGCCAACATCAACGGTGTACTCCCTCCACTATCTTTTGAATCGACATCTAGACCACGTGACATTAGTCTCTCGATGATGGTGACATTACCACCCTGTGAAGCGGCGTGCAGTGGAGTAATGCCAGAGTGGCCTTCAATAAAGGGATCAGCTCCTTTGTCCAAGAGGTAATTTACGGCATCTATTTTGCCAGTCCAAGCAGCTAAAATTAAAGCCGTTTTACCATCGTTATTTTTTGTGTTGATATCCAGGCCACGTGACAACATATCCTCGATGATGGCAAAGTTGCCAGTCTGCACAGCTGATGACAGTGAGTTCCAATTGTCGCCTGCTATCGTCTGAGTGTCACGTTTATCTGAAAAAAAAGATAAATGAAAAAAAATTTCACAGCAGAAGAGACATACCTCTCCGTATTTTGTAACAATAAGAACGTTTATACTCAATGTATAAAAATAGACATTCAAAGATTGCATTTGGCTTCTGATATAAAACAATTTTTAGAGCATTGGAAAGAACTAGAGGTTGTATAATGGCGAAAGAATATAGTTTTGCTGGGGTTCGCTCAAAAGCCTTATGGTTCCCCTATCCTCTGAGCCCCAACAATGTTACTTATGCTTCTTATTATTTTATTGCGAGTCCATTTTTTGAGACATTTTTCTTCATACAAAACGGCATTCCGCTTTTAGGATATTCCGTCATTATGCCGATCCACCGTTCTTCCATTCCATTTTTCAGTTATATAATTCAAGGTATCGATCTCGCAGCTTGCTCGCTTCGCAAATTGAGCGGCTCTATTAGGCATAATAATAATAATAATAATAATAATAATAATAACAATGATATAATAATAATAATAATAATAATTGCGAGCGACAAGAGGAGCAAGCAATCCTAATCTCAACGTTGCTTATACAAACGCATGCGGGCAGGTGTGTAGTTTGGCCCTGATTCGATTTTTGCTCAATAGTGAGTCTACCACTAAGAATGTATGGAATGCAAAGAACTCTATTTTCTCACGCGCATCATGTGTAATTTGGACCTTGAAACACGTGAAGCTAACGC